CTTAGTTCACTGGACCCTGCGTGTCTCCTCCACTTGTAAACTGGCATGTTCTTTACTATGGTCAGTAATATTCTGCTTGTTGCTAAATTCAGTTTTCGCTGCTCAGACCTTCATTTGACGTCATTGCAGCATCTCTAGTGTCTTCTTTGTCTTTTGCTGCTCCATTCCCGAATTTGCACCATAACTTCAACTTAGTATCTATCCTTCAGAGCCCTCTACTGGCCCCGTAACTGTCAGGGTTCTGAGACCTGCCTCATCTCTGCGCCCTGCTCCTTCACGTGGAAATACCCCTTACTCGTATTAATTACCAAGTGCAATCCTCAAAGTTGGTTTAAATTGTATTCTGTTTTTATTTCTTCCTAGTAAAATCTATTTTACATGCTCTATTTTATATCACCCTAGTATTCACCTCTGCGTCCTGATTTGTGATAGCTAAAAAGCAAATGGTACTTGACTTTTCTATGTGGGAATGATGTTCAAAATAAGATGAAAGAGAAAATAGACTTAACCTCAGAAATTCCTAAGTCTAATAATATTTCACTTTCAATTTGGCCTTGGTGGAGAATGAGATGTTCTCCATGTGTGATTTTTTTCCACATGATTTCCCTTTTTCAATGCCAGTTCTTAAGAAAGTATATTTTCACGTATTTCTAAAATGACCATTTTCCTTGTCTTCTTAAACAGAAAATAACAAATTGGACAAGCCTTTCTTCCATGACTCAGAATCATCTTGATGAATGCCTGTTTGACTGTTTTGTAACTTAGACCCCTGTCTACTTTTCAGCTTTTTCCTTTCCTTGGTACCTTATTATTAGCTGTCATTTCTTTTCCATTTTGAGTAGCTCTCCTCCTAAAATACTTCTCCCTATACACTATGCCACATGCTATAATGAAACAATCACATTTGTTAATACAAACACATAAAATGAAAGTAAATAACTCATTACAGGAATGAAAACATAGAATTTAGTGATATTTTTAAATTACTGTTTTCTTGCCTCAGAAGCATTTTTCCATCCCTTCAAATTTATGACCTGTGTTCAGAAGAGACTGGAGTTGCCAGGAGTGGGACCTCGGAACAAGAAAAATATTACTGAGATCTGAAAATATGTTGTAAATATAGAACTGAATATATAAATACGTATTTCTATGCATAGAAATATAGAACTAAATAACATAGGCCTCTTTCATAACGTGATTTTAATCCTATTAACTTTCTGAAGTAGTGTTCCAAAGACGAGTTATGTTATATAGATTTTTTTTTTTTCCTGTTAAAGGATTTTGGTAATTCTCTTGCTTTAGGGTTGAGGCAACATGATGAATGCATCCGACTTAAGAAAACTACATTAGTCACATAGTAACAGTGGTTGGGAAATGGATTTGTATTTCTCAGCTGCTTCATGGCTGGCCTGTCCAAATGAAAAATAACCTGAAATCTTATGGTAGGTTTGTTGTTGAAGTTTATTTAGCTGTGTGGGTGACGTGAACGACACATGTACAAGAAGATTAATTAGTGATCGTTTTGCCGAGAAGCATAATGTTGCGGAGCCATCTGGCGCACCGTTGTGGGGAGGGCGATCTCAAAGGATTACTCATTAAACTTTCAGCACTGTTCCCGGACTGCCGGTGGCCCTCCAGATTCTTATTAGATGAGGCTGTGCTGAGATTCAAGAGCAGCAGGACCGTGGGGAAGTGGAGCTTCGTGTTTATCACAGACAGCAAGCAATTCAACCTTGAGAACTCTACCTCGAGCCCACTACGATTTCCCTTAGTGGCATGTATGCCATTTATATTGCTATCATCTTTGCCGTAATAAAATACCCACAATAGCCCTGCCTCAAAAGCTTGTGACATTAGTTTGAAAAAAATAAAAAGATTTTAAATATTTACATAACCTTGGAAGAGCTGAAAAAGTTCCTCATTGTTACACGTAAAATACCTCGTTTAGTATTTTTTCATGCAGTACTATATTTTTTTTGTATTCTTTCTGTGTCATTTATTCATGAGTTTACTTCTTCAACCTTGCAGCAAATATTGATTCAATAGCTACTTCTGCAATTTTTATACTACGCTTATAGTCTTAAATGAAGCAGAAAATTTACTCCAACTCCCTGATTCTTCATCTGAGAATTTGTCGGCCTCTGGAGGCCCGTGACAGCACGTGACTTCTATAATCTCTGTCTCCTTGGGTTACTATTTGATCAGTGACCTCAGAAACATTTTATAATCTTTGTTAGAAGTTCGTTCCTCTTATATATTAAGTTAAATGTTTTGATTTGGATTCTACCTCTGAAGCATATGTGAGTCATGTAGAAACTAAATATTGATCCCATCGCTGCCCCCACAAATATATATCTACCAAATTCTAGGCGTTTTGAAAACTGATCAAAACCAGTCTTTTCTATTCATAAGACAGCAGAGTGTGAATATCTCTTGGCAGGACAGTGAAATGAGAATTTATGTCATCAAATGAAACAAAAATAGAATATTGCCTATTCAGATAAAAAATGGAGGTAGGCGTTGCTAGATGATTCGCTGTTACTCTTGTCAACAGACATTTGTGCAGGTCTAATTACGTTAGTGCCACCTGAGGAAAGCCTGCTTGCATACAGCTAGCCCTGGAGGAGAGGTGTGGTCTATCACAGAATTAGTATCTAATAGGTGCCCAGGTAAGAACATGCGTGTGTCCATTTGTGTCTTTTGTATTTCTTTCTCTACATTTACTTTCACTACAGTTTTTCTAGGCTTCATCAACACTTCATCGTTCAACTGTTTTTTATTGTCTTCTTGTGTATAGTCACAGCCTTCCCTATGCTTAGAGGTCAGAAGCTCTTTACAGTACATGCTTCTGAGCATCTCAGTTTCATTTCTTCTATCTACACTCTGCAAACTTCCTCAGGAGCCATAACGCAATTTCTCTTCCTGGAAACAGTGATAGCAGTATTTTCCTAGGCCGCAGACTTCTGGGAAAACAATGAATCGAGATGGCTATCACGAGCTAGGGGAGCCGCCTGATTTTGAATTCCTAAAAATGGATAGGACACATTTTTCTGCCTGCTGCTGGTACCTGACGGGAGCATCAGGGCCTCTGAGCAAGCCCAGGGCTCTGAGCACCTGCTTGCCGATAGGGACCAGTGATCCTGAGGTCCTCTTACCATTTTAATTTTATACATAATCCACAGAAAGGAGATGCAAATGGCTATGGCTCTTTAGGACTGCCAGCTTCCCTCCCTCAGCCAAATTGAAGGCAAATTCGTGGAAGTGGATTTCATGAAAGAACTTTGGAGAAAAGTAAAACTCACTCAGTGTGTAAATATGAAGCACTATAGCTACCATCTGTTGAATACCTACTATGCCCAAGGCGCCATTCCAACTTCTTTACGTAGATTCTTACTTGATTCTCATACCAGCCCTGCAAGGTGGCCTTGTTAACCTTTATTAATAGATGGGAGAGGCACAGAATATTTAAGTAACTAAAGCTAGTGGGTTTCTCAAAGGTGGTTTTGTTCTACCTGCAACATACACTAGTTCTAGACTTTTAAGATTCACACAATATGTTAGTATATAGTTGTAGGCAACACAGGTTGTGAGAAGGCGTGGACTTTGAATTAAAAGGGTGCGGAAGTAAAGAAAAATGCTCCTTTGTAGAAAAAGATCGTTCTGTGCCGGGAGGGGCTTGAATGAGAGTGTGAAAAAATGACCGGGGCACTTGATACCAGTTTTCCAGGGACAGGATTGACACTTGTCCTTTATGACGGACAAGAACAATGCAGCAAAAGGCTGGCGGTAAAAGTTACCAATTCACATGTTTGCAAGACGTTAGATAACAAAGGGAGCATCATAGTAACCCATAACAGATAAAATTTTATTATTTTATTATTAGCCAATATGGTCATGGAAGGGGCGCAAAGCGGGTAATTCTTATGCTTCGCTTAGTCGCTTGGTGACTTAGTTCTGGCCGGAGTGTCTAAGCTCCCCTCACTTATGGCTGGAGATACAGACAGATCCTCTCAGTTCTGAAATGACTCTGAAAATCCTAAAGACCAACTTCAGCTACTTGTGTAAGAAACAGGAATAAATCTATAAATAAATTGTGTATAAATGTATGTAAACAAAGAAATATAACTTTATTGTCATTTTATGTATGTATATGCTTATGTTAGAATAAAAAAACTATTTTGCAGTTTCATATTTTCTGAACTTCAAGTTAGCAAATGAGTATTGTCTTTGCACAAGGGCAGTGATAACTCTTTTAATCAAATTTTATTAATCCTTTGTTAGAAGAAATTATTGGCTGCTGTAGGTGGAGTATGACAATTAAAGTATTAGATTTTAACTACTTTCCAGCCTACTGGGAAAACATAATGTTTTCATTGTCAAATAAGCCTCTTCCTAGTCTACATCTAGGATACTGAATACAGAGTATAAAGCTAGAACAGTTTGGACAATCACAAGACTGCAAGGCTCACTTACTGACGCATAACTAGCTCTAGATGCCTTCGCATTCCCGGTGAGCATCACATAATAACGATTGGAAAAATCACTGACAGTATTTGATATTTATGATGCAGGCCAGGGAGTGATGCAAATGAGAACATTTAAAAAGTTTAATGTGCCATATAAATGCCAGATAAAATTGTTTATGGATGTGTGGATGAACACGAACATATAGCAAAATATGCCCCATCTACAAAATGAAGGAGTCAGGTTCTCTGATTCCAGAATATTCCTTCAGTTTCAAGGTTCCACAACTTTATGTTTTTCCAGGCTGGTCATCACAGGGCGAGCTTAGTCACCACACGGTCACTGCCAGCAGCCAGGGCCGGCTCAGTCCCTTGTGTAAAATTGCTGAATGGAGGAGAATAACTACAATGCATGGGTGTTTTGTTTTTTGGGGATGCAATAATGTACTCAGAAGGAAACATGACAAAACCCTACACTTTGGTAAATCAATTGTTTAAAAAGGTTTTCCTATATTTCTGTTTGCTCTCATGACACAGTGGAGGCGCTCCATTTGGGGACACTCATGGCTGCCCATGGCTACTTCTTTCCGATCTCCGATCACGTCCTCACGCTCAAGGATGACGGCACCTTTTACCGGTTTCAAGTGAGTTTAATAAAAATCGTCTTTAACGGTAAAATAGGCCATCTGTGTTTTGTGTGCTAATTGTTTTTACAGAAAATTTGAAAATTGTGACATTTTAACTGAATTTAACTTAAGCTAGTTAGAAACTGGCTTAATGGTTAAGCTAGTTATTGTTAAGACATAAAAATGAACAAAGAAAGAGGGAGCCTGTTTAGTAAAGATGATTTGTGAAAGCTAAATTCTGTGATGGCTCAAGTTATACTTTATAGAAAAAGCTCAAGGGAACTTCAGAGGGTCACTTAATGGAATTCAGGAAGCTAGGAGAGTTACCTGTAATTTATATTTCAGTTACTAAATTTGTGATACTCTGGACCCCATCTGTGATCCAGAATCATCTTCAGTCCAAGCAAACTTTCATAGACTGTTTGAAGCTCCAGGATAGCACTGAGCTAACTATATAAACCCTCCACGTGTGGGTATCTGAGGCCCTTCTACAAGCCTGTGAAGACTGGCATGCGTGATGCTTTCTTTATGTGTCTACACCCATCTGAGATAAGAGGACACCACAGATAAATTTGTGAATGGACAAGAGTCCTACTACGTCACATTTCTAATAAGACAAGCTACTCTTGTGTCAGGAAATGATTGTGGACTCTAATTTCAGTCCTTGAGCATGCTTTTGATCTTGAGGTCCCAGTGATTTATCTGGAGTGTATTCTATGTTTCATTAGACATTATGATTCACTAGTGACCGACTAGTAAATTCTAGCCTATAAAATTAGGACACCCATGTGCAAACTCCAGCTTAATTCCTAGAGGTGTGGTTAGAGGATCCTCCCCATTGTCCAACTCTCTGACATTGGAGCATTATTCTCACTTGTTCTGAATATTATTAGATGTTCTATACCTAAAACAGTGACTAAATAGTAATTTGGGTGCCTAAGAACTTGCTTGGGAAAACTGAAAACAAAGAGACAATAAATTTTCAAAGATTGTTCTCCAAGATTATTGTCCCCTTTAGGACACTCTCATATCCCTTCTTTTTGACTCTTATCTGAGGCAAGTCATCATGGGACTTTTTACACTGAGTAGTTAGGAGATAAAGCCATCTCCTAAAACTGTGATACTGACCTAAGTATTCAAACAATTTAAATCACTCAAATTATTTCATTGTAAAAGTCTTTAAAATAATGGAACTTTATCCCTTTGCAGTTAAACTTAAGGTAATGGTAGCTTAAACAGTTTATTAAGTTAGTCCTAAAGTTAACATTTTAATCAATAAAAATTATTGGTGGTTAGCCCATTATTTCTGTGCTACTAACACTGTTTGATTTTTAAAGGAGTTATTTTTCTGTTGCAGGATGACACTTTCGATATATCATTTTCTTATAAAATTTTGATACAGATACTATAAGTAAACATCTAGTAAACTTTATAATAAAAACCTCACAATTCTGAATGGAAGGATTTTGAGTTTGTTTTCTCATAAAAATAGAAACTCTTATCCATCTTCACAACATTACAAGTAAAACCATGCATGTATAAAAGAACATGAACATGAACACATAGCAAAATACGTGCCATCTATAAAATGAAGGAGTCAGGTTCTGTGATTTTGGACCAGTCCTTCAGTGTCAAGGTTCCATAACTTTATGTTTTTCCGGGCTGGTCACCAGGTGAGGTTAGTCACCGCACGGGCGCGGCCAGCAGCCAGGGCTGCCTCAGTCCCTTGTGTAAAATCGCTGATGGAGAAGAATAACTACAATGCATGGGTTAATAAGGGACACGTTGCATGTAGGCTTTCTCTTGAGAATTATCTAATTCAAAAATTATTTTTAAAACAAACTAGTTCAGACATGGCCCAAAGTTAGTGATGATGGCTTTAATTAGCATAATTTGCAGATTTGAACTCTGCAGACTTTAGCGGCAATTACTAATTTCTCAGCCTGAAATTAGTGGGCAAACAAGGTTTAAATGTCTTAGTCTCATGGGTCAAAAATAAGCAAAGCTGGGAATGAGTCATCATTCTTTCTAGAGGAAAGGAGACACTCTTTAAAGGGCTGTAAAACAAAATGAAGGAATGGGTGCAAATGATAAATGAATCACATCACTACCAGGTATAGGCAGGTCATCGACTTTCGTGTGCCTAGACAGATGATGGATAATCTCTTAAATTACACCAATTATGTTAAAAATTAAATAGTAACTATTTTAATGACCCATCCACACTTGAAGTGGGATCCAAGTATTACATATTTGTAAATCTAATATTAGTAGACTCTTAAAACCAAGATTTTAAAAGCAAAAAAGACAAAAAAGTCAAGAAAAGCTGGATTCTTGCTATAATATCTACCAAAGCATTAATCAGTCTATATTTAAACAGCTCTAATAATAGAACACACATTATTGTTTAAGGTGTTTACTTCATTTTCTGGCTGGTTCCAAGAAGCAGGGAGTTTTTAATTACATTGAACTGGATTCAACTCCTTGGAAGGATTTTAAAAATCATGAATTAAAATGGAAAACTTGTAATATGTTTACAATTCTTCCAGTGAATCATTGAGATTCTCCCCATCATTAGGAATCTGAAAAAGATTCGGGGCATGAGTTTGAAACAAACAGAGCTCTTAATTTAATTTCATTGGCATGCAACAATATGTAAATTTGTCTCAATTTTCAGTACATTTTTAACCATGTGATTTTGTATAATGTAAACTTGCAATTGTCTGATTATTATCCTCTCTTAGCTAATTGGAGTTGAGACCGGACATGATTTTCCAGATCCCTTTTATAACTTTTATCACAATAATATATGTGCCAAAGATTATTAAGAAATGGCTGGACAGTTTCGGATCAGCTTTATCATTGCTAAAGAAGCCAACGCTCGTAGATTAAAGTGTTCTAAGGTCTATACAGACTGTAAAACATATTTTTAAATTCCAGCAAACTACAAGGGTTTGCTATTTATTAAATTGCCTTTTACTATAAATAAAAATATTTTTCCTAGAAAAAAAATCTTACATTATTAGTGAAGAATGTTGGCCTTACAACACTTCCACATAATATTTCAGAATACAATAGTTTCATTCTTTTATTTTTACATTCAGGAAACTCTCACTAAATACTAAAATAATGAAGAAAACAGGAAAGAATGCAGCAAGAATGCCTTGTGGTTTGAAGGGGAAAATGTGTGTATCTGACCAATGTGACTAGAATGGGCATTTTTAAAGTTAAATAAATAGATATGTGTGTGCACCCACCTGTGTGCAAAGCTAGTATCAGTAGCTTTCTCTGTCACACTGCACCAGTTGCCAAGAACAAGTGGAGAGGAAATAAAAAACCCTGGGCGTCTTGGACAGCCTGGAATGCTCTCCCAGAAACGACCCATTCTCTCGAATGACCCTATATCCCTTCTTGAGAATCCCCCTTCCAGAGGTAGAATTATCAAATAGGTACTCAGAGAGCACCCAAGTGTGCCCATTACACGTGGATAGTTAATATAACTGACTAATAAATACAATGAACTCCACAAGGCTGAGGTCTACAGTCCCTGTCCCCTTGGGTCCTGAAGTCGCCATCGTCCGCGAACACAGAAGTTTGATAGACAGTCCTTGCATTTTCTCAAGGTCTGGAGCCAAGCACGTCCCCCGAGCAGAGAGAGAAAAGCCCTTTTAGAAAACATAAAATGTGGATGATGACCATAGCATTTTCCTGATCAGATATTTTCTTTATACTTTTTGTCAGTCAGTTTCTAAAATTTCACAGGATCAAATTTCTGTCAGTTACTAATCACATCAACCAACTACAACATTATTAGTTGAAAAAGTAATCTCTGGTTTATGCAATTTAAAAATGTAGAGCAAGAAGTGTCTTTATTAAGAAATATCTTAAAGTGAGGGGGGAATGTTGTTTTAATCTGATTGGATAAATTTAAAGCTGCAGTATATAGTTAAGAGAGCCAGGCAAATGACTGCCAGATCTTAGGGAAAGAGTTTGACTCACGGATAAGCTTTTCAACCTATTGGCAGCAATATTGGGATACATTAATCAGAGAAAACAATTTGTTATATTTAAGCATGTCTTATCCTGAATCCTACTGAATATAATACTCTGCTTTCAGTCTTTGTGGATTCAAAATTTTGTTTGAAAAATGGAATCAGACCTTTGACCTTCATGTCAGTTGACATAAACTTGCAGCAAAGGTAGGACATTCTAAACACCTGTTGGTGCTGCACATATTTGGGGGCTGAACCGTTGCTCAGAAAAATAAATGTGGAAGAAAAACCCTTCATGCCTCTCTGGGATCCTTTTCTGGATTACAGACATACCTTCGGTGAACTCTTCTAGAAAATCGTCAAATATAAATGCAGCTCATGAAACCAAAACTCTTCCTTGTTTGTGTGTCTCACTGTGTTCCACTTCTTTTACTCCACAGACGCCCTATTTTTGGCCATCAAATTGTTGGGAGCCAGAAAACACAGACTATGGTCAGTGCGATATCTCATTTTATTTTTGGCAGCCAGTGCGGCTGGATGAACGTGTGCTTGCATTTTATTGCTTTGTCATCGTGAAAAGTAAACTACAGTTCTCACTATGGGATTAATATTTCTAACATTGAATTTATGAATGGCCTTTTTTAGGGAAGTTACTAAACCTGGTGGCAACTTGCTTCATCGTACAGTGTCCACTGAGACTATTAAAGAAAAATGTATTTTCTTCTGAATTGGTTAAAGAGCTATCAACAATCTTTAAAAAAAAGGCTATTATTATCTTTCCATAGCACATTGGTCTACTTGAAAGAGTTACAAAGGGGCTCAGAGGGCCAGAGTGCTAGCTTAGCTCTCCCACTAGGCTGTGTGAATGTGGCAAGTCCATTGACTGGCTGCAGCTTGATTTTTCCCACTATTATATGAGGTATTTTATGTTTCTGTAAGTGGAAGCTTCTAATACACATGGAAATGCCAATTGCAAGTGAAGAAATGTTACAATAGAAAGTTGAATAGTAATGAATCACTTTCAGTGAACTTAGAATGTAATCAATCCAACAATCATGATTTCAGTTAAGCTCTTCAAGGAAATAGGCCTCTAATAAGTATTCATCTTCTTATATCTTCCTAAAGGCTATCGTGTTCAAAGATGAGATAGCATGGTCTTAAAATCTCATTTCTACAAATATTTTCTTAGGATTCTTTTGCTATGCCAAGGGCTGTAGTAGGTGCTGAGACACCAAAGGTGACCCGGCCTTCATCTGCATGGTTGGCATCTTGTAAGCTAAATGAGAAAAGAGAAATATGCAGAAAGAGTTATGGTAGAGTTAATATAACAATGGTATGTGCAAAAAAAAAATCATAAGAGAGGTCTGAAGAATAAGAGATTGACTTTAGCTGGTGGATTCACACAAAAGAACTGAGATCATTTGAAGTTGTGGGTGCACAGTGCAATATACAGATCATGTATCATAGAAACGTACACTTGAAACCTACATGACCCTATTAACCAATGTCACCCAATAAATTTAATATAAATTTTTTAAAAAATAGAGAAAGGAAGGTTTTTTGTTGTTGTTGTTGTTTTTAAGAGACAGGTCAAAGAAATCATTCGAGGCTGAGAACCAGCATATGAAGGGCGATGAAACACTCCCTGCCCAGCAATCTGGCTTTCCTAGCTATTGCTCCTGGAGAGGCATCTCTGTAAGAAAACTAGAGGAAAATCCACTGAAGACCAGTGGATTTTTTTTGTTTTTCATTTCAGAAACTTGAATGTGCCATTCATCTAAGAATGGTCAGGGCCAGCCAAAGATGCAAAGTGATGTACTTTGCGGGAAACAACCTATAAACCAGAGTACTGATAAATTAATAGAGAGAAAATAAGGAACTTCTTTCCAGTTGTGCTAATGCTCATTTCTTCATCCAGAAACACGCAGTTCTCAAAACCGAAGCACTTGGAGAACAAAGTCATTAAAAAACAACTGTTGATTTGTAGATCTGAGTTGGAGAACTTTCTGGAGCCTTTTGTCCAGCTTGCAGTGAATGGGGTTTGTCTCACTAAAGAAGGAGTATAAAATTCTAGTAGCGGGAACACTTGGCCAGCTGCGAAGGAGCTCATGGAAAAAGCCCCAGATGTTAGGGACAGGCAGACCTGACCTAAACTACTGTCACAGTCTCGTACCAGCTGTGTGACTTAAAGCAAGGCAGGCAACGTCTGTGAGCCTCAGTCTGCTCATTTTTTAAGTAGAAATAATAATATTGACTTTCTAAAGTTGGTGAGTTGACATAATCCAAACTAACATCCCTAAGGAAACTGGTATTGCTCCTCTCATACTCAATAAGTCAGACTTATTTTGTGCTCGCCATCGTTTTTGCCTGACAGGGATACTTTCTTCCTTCCAGGTAGAAAGGCAAATTCTTATCCTCAGTGTTTCTCTCTGTCCATCCTTGGTGTTTTTCATTAATATGTTAGTGTTCACAGTTACAGCTCATGAGTCATCACTCCACAGAAGACGTATGTTTGAATGGGGAGCCTGAGGAAATGGCATGATCTTTTGCAGGACATCCCTCAGAGTGGGTCATCCCCAATTAGCAATGGCATGCAGTTTTACATTAACTCTTACGGATATCCATTTCAAAGGGGGTCGCCTTCTGACCTTTCTCCGCAGACCTAGAGCATCGGCAATTGGCTAAGGGTCTCTAGACACAGTTTTTATTAGGCTTTGTTCTTCTCCTTGAAGAAACATATACCTGTTTGTGTCTAGCTTGCTTAGCTTATATACAAGAGAAGAATAAAATAACTATTCAATAAGAGGTTATGAAAAAAAGGAGAGGGAGAAAATTGACAGTGATCTCAGACACTGTACCACTTCCCCAGGCAATGAGCTTCATCTGTGCTTTTTCTTTTTAGAGACAAATAAATCATAGTAGCAACCTGAATGACCCAAAATTGAATTTCCTACCATCGTTTGGTTACAGCATATCCCTGCTTGTAAAAAAGACGTCAATGGCGTGATGTAGTTATGCTGTGAGACCCACAGCACAGTGATTACTTAGGGTATTTCTTTTTAAGAGAACTTTGAGGCAGAGTTTATTGCTTAAGGCAGGTAAAAGAAATGGTTTCTTTTCCTCTATGAGCGTCTTGACCTCTGTTTCCATCACCAGTTAGAACTTACTAGGCAGGTTCTGCAGAACCTAAACCTCTGTGGGTCAGTTTATATACAGAAACACTTTTTACACTTACCTTGATCTTATTAAAAAAATAGACTATGTCAGTCATGTTCAAACAAAGACAAGCCAGCATGAACTATAGGGCTATAACTCTATGAACACCATTCTTTGAATATTAGGTGAAATTGTTGATATTTTTTCACCCAAGTATAAATAACATTCCAATCTAAGCCCATTAAAATGGAGTCAGGAATGGACTCTTCTGGGTGTATTTGCATCAAGAGTGATCCAGAAAAAAGGGTGCCTGAATTAAGGGCTGGAAGCTAAGACACGAGCAAGCTTAAGAGAACTATGGCAAGAAGCAGAGGCAGTAGACCTGGGCCAGTTTGCTCAGTTGAGTAGAGCATTGTCCCGACACACCACAGTTGTATTGGAGCACTCTTTTAACCTTTGACATCTGGGCAAGAGCCTCACTCATCTCGTCCTACTGATAAGTCAACTGAAACCTACACATGATAATCACAGAAAGAGATGCTTTCTCATGAATGATGAAAATTGCCTACAACTTCGCATTGTCTTGTCGGATGATGAAAATAAATGTTCTAGTTGAGCAGTTCGGTAGAATTCACCAGTGAAGCCATCTGATCCTGGACTTTTGTTTGTTGGGAGGTTTTATGTTAGTAATTGATCTGTTCAGATTGTCTGTATCTTCATAATTCATTCTTGGTAGGTTGTTTGTTTCAAGGAATTTATCCACTCTTTTAGCTGCCAAGTCTATTGGCATGTAATTGTTCATAACAGTGTCTTATGGTCTTTTGTAATTGTGTGGTATCGATTGTAACATTTCTTCTTCATTTCTGATCTTATTTATTTGTCTTCTCTTTTTTTCTTGGTGAGTCTAGCTCCAATTTTGCTTATCTTTTCATAGAACCAGCTCTTAGTTTTATTCATCTTTTATATTGTCCTTTTAGCCTCTATTTTATTTATTTCTGTTCTTATCTTTGCTATCTCCTTCATTCCACTGTCTTCAGGCTTCATTCATTCTTGTTTTAGTTTCTTGAAAGGTAAAATTTGGTTGTTTATTTGAAATTTTTCTTGTATCTTGAGATAGGCATTTATCACTATGAACTTTCCTCTAAGAACTACTTTGCTACAGCCCATAAATTTTGGTATATTTATTTCTACTTTCATTTGTCTTAAGGTAGTTTTTGATTTCTCCTTGATTTCTTCTTTGACTCATCGGTTGTTCAGTAGTATGTTGTTTAGTCTCCCCATATTTGTGAATTTTCCTTTTTTCCCCAGCTGTTGATTTCTAGTTTCATACTATTGTGGTCAGAATAGATATTTGATATGACTTTAATCTTCTTAATTTATTAAGACCTGTTTTGTAGTTTAACATGTAATCTATCCTGGAGAGTGTTCCACATGTGCTTGAGAAGAATACATATTCTGTTGCTTTTGGATGGAATGTTCTGTACGTAGCTTTTGAGTCCATCTGTTTAACATGTTGTATAAGGCCAATGTTTTGTTACTGATTTTCTGCCTAGGTAATCTATCCTTTGCTGAAAGTGGGGTATTACCCCACTATTACTGTATTGCTATTTCTCCCTTTAGGTCTATATTAGATAAATTACTCATCTCTATTTTATTAAGGGCTATTTAATGAGGCTTTATCTTGTCATTTTGTTTGGGACATATTCCTTTGTTTCTTCCTTTTCCTTGATTGTCTGTGTAGGTTCCTATGCATCAGAAACCTACAGTCCTGAAGTAGTGGCCTCCTATAGATTAACTCTGTAGCTCCACCCTGCCCTCAGTCTTGGTTGTCTCCCAAATCTTTGTGATTGCCCAAGCATCTTATTCTATTTTTAATACCTCCCAATGCTTGAGGGCATGCCACGATCTGGCAGTGGTCCAAAGGGGAGCATCTCACTCAGCACCCAGATTCAGGCTGATTGGAAGTCAACTACTCAGGCAGCAGCTTTTCAAGCACACAAAGTAATACAGTCCTGGGTGACTGCCGGCATAAGAGCCCACTGGCCACCAGAGGCAGGGGATCTGGCGGTGTCTCCAGGCAGCAGTCACAAGCTTCAGGGTCCCAGATGAGTGTGTAAGCTCTTTTCTGGGAGATACCAGCAAGCTGTTGCAAGGCAGAGGGATAGTAGAGATGGCATCCACCGTCTTTGGTTCCCGGTGAGCAGCTCCATAGGCCCCTCCTTATGTTTGTGGCAAACCTGAAGCTGGCCTCTCTTGTTGAAGCTCAAGGACAAGTAAGTAGACCCTTTTTCTAGAAGGACCTGCAGTGTGCTTCAATCTGTTGTCTGCAATGCCCT